TGGGGGGGTCTTTGTGGGGAGGGGTCTCGGGGGAGCCAGAGTCGTGTCCAGGGCATCCATCCTCTGCCGATGGCGAAGGTGGGCTGGGCAGGAGTGATGGCCAGGGGGAGAGGAGGGGCGGGCTGCCAGGACCAGCAGGTGTTGCTGAGCCCACCCGGGAGCTGCTGGTGGAGGGCGGTGGCCAGCAGCTATGTTGGGCTGCGGGGGTGTCGAGTGAGACGCATCCTGGCTGCAGTGGTCCTGGGGAGCCGGGGGAGCCACTGGGGGTGGAAAAGCTTTGGGTCTGGACGCCAGATTGGAGTGGGCTGTGGAGCCGGTGGGAGGTGAGAAACGGGGACAGTGGGTGCCGCCAATTCTCCCATTTTCTTTTTTTTATACTTTTTTGTCACGCTACAGTTTTATTTACACGATCAGTGCAGGGCATGTTCTAGAATGCAGACTTGAATCCTCAAGCGCATTGTTAGCAGAAGAGGGCAAAATGCAGGGAAGGGGTGAGGGGACAGTGGGTGCCGCTGTCCCTGTGCAGCGGTGGTGACCTCAGGGAGTTCCCAGGCCCAGCGGCATCGGGAGTGTGGTGGCCTGTGTGCAGGAGTGGGGGTGTTGCCCTGCACGGCTGGCCTCCTCTGCCCATCCTGGGTCTCCCACGGGGACACGAACTGCAGCTCAGAAAATAAGCAGCAGGCTGTGCCCCCCGGCCGTGCCTCCCAGCCGTGTCCCCTGGCCATGCCTCTGTGGCCTGCTGACTGCAGGCAGGAGGGGAAGGGGCCCGGGGAGGGCGGAGGGGGGTGGGTGCAGGGAGAGTCTCCCCGTACACCACAGAGGCCTACGGTGTGTGAAGGCTGGCAGGCTCCCTGGCAGGGCGTGGCGGGGCGGGAGCTGTGTTGGTGGGCCACAGGTTCACCTGGGGCACGCATCTGGCCAGGCTGGGCCTGGGCTGGGGCTGGGGCCATGGGTGGGGAGACCCTGGTCCTCACAGGCGTGAATGCCCACGCCCACTGGAGCTGCTCAGGTGTTCACATGTGCACACACACACGCACGTGCAAGCCTGCAGGCCTGAGGGGCCACGTCTTCCAGAGGGCCCATGGGTGAGTCCTTTTTCCCAGGACCAGGCAGGGACACTTTGGAGCAGGGCAGAAGCCCCAGCCTCTGATCTACTTGCCTTTAACCAAGTAAGTGACAGCATGGCCTGTCCCATGTGGTCCCAGTGGGAGGAGATTCAAGAGGAAGGCGGGCAGTTCCTACTTACTCAGCCTGCAAGGGCGTCACCTTGGGGCCCTTGTGGGGCATCCGACACAGGGCATCTGTGAGTCCAGGCGGGCTCTCGCAGACAGCTCTCTCTAGGTGCCTTGTCACCATTGCGTGACTCTGCATGCTACGGTGGTCACCTCAGCCCCCCTTCCTGGTGGCCCCCGAGGCCTGGTCAACGCTGGCTTCTTTGCCCTGCCAGATCTCCGAGGCCCCAGCTGACAGCTGGCTGCGTGAGTTCCATTCCCATGGCACCTCTGACCAGGGGACTTACCTGACAGACGGGCGGGGGCCCTGGGGGTGGGGGCACAGGCCCTCCTCACCTGGTGTGGCACGGGACCTTGGGCTGTCACTGTGGAGAGGAGGGTCCTGGACACTCAGGGCTGTGTCCTGGGGAAGCTGGGTCCTGTGGGCACGATAGTCTATAGACTTGTGGCCACCCAGGCCATGAGCAGGGACTCCAGCCCGGCCTCAGGACAGGGTACTGTCTGTGCTGCTGGTCTGCAGTGTGGGCTGCAGAGGGGACATTTCCCCCACCTCCCCCAGATGACCATGGAGTCATATGGGGCTGGGGCTGGGGGAGGAACCAGGGTGCACCTAATCGTGCGTCTCCTGGGCACTGGGTCCCGGGGTGTCGCTAGAGACCCCATCTTTGAGGGAGAGCCTGAGCCATCCTCTTGATTCCGCTGCTGCCCTGTGAGCAGGTCTCTCTGTGGCCCCAGAGGACAGCCTTCCAGAACGTTGGCCCTTGCGATGTCCTTATGCCTATAAGACAGGCTCTGGGCTTCCCCTTGGGGGATGCAGCCAGGCCCAGACTCCTGTCCCTCCGGTCCCTGTGCAGTCCCCACTGCCCACTAGATGGCACTGTCTCCTGCCTCCCGAGTTCCAGGAAGGCGGAGGGGGTCTCCAAGGCCTGTGCTCTGCACTAAGCTGGGGACAGAGACCCCCGAGGGTGAGGAACCTCCCGCTGCTGGGTCAGGGACCCACAGAGGGTCTTGTTCACTTGTTGTAGGAGAAGCACTGTGTGACAGGTGGTGGCCCTGGGCAGGGTGTGTGCCCATGTGCCTGTGTGCTCTGTGTGCCTGTGTGTGCACGTGTGTGGGCACATGCACGTGCACACATGTGTGTTTATGTGTGCGTTGTTTAATGTTTGCACAGGAAGTGGGTACATGTGAATGTGTGCATGCGTGTGTCTGTGTGTGCACAGCTGGGTGAGGGCGTCTGTGGGTGGGCAGGCAGGGGTGGGGCCTCTCCGTCTGAACCACTCCAGGCCAGGCCTGCACACAAGCTGGACTCAGAGGTGACAAGACCTGCCCGGCCGCCACCTCAGGCCCCCACCACTCCCAGGCTGGGTTTGCTCTCTGGGACACTCGGGTGCTCCAGGCCCTCATCCCCACGGCGACCCCTAGGACCCCCAGGGTGTGGTCCTCCCTGTGGACAGTGATGTGATGTGGACTGTAGAGGGACTTGAAGTGGCACCTGAGGGATGGTCACTTGCTCCTGGCAGCTGCATTGGGACCAATCAGAGGCCCAGGGTTCCACCTGTTGTGGAGTGCCCGGGACCCGGGGGGAGAGGGACGCTCCAGAGACGCACTCCTTGGAGCTCTGCCCCGGGGCCTGGCCTGATGTGGGGGCAGTGCTGCCCAGGGGCCGGTACCCCCTGCTCCCCACTCAGCCCCCACCCAGGAGACAGCCCAGGTGGGGCCCGCTCCATCAGCAACTCAGGGTCCGGCACGAGACCTGGGGGGCTTGTCACTCCTCCCCACCTGACTGCTGCCTGCCCTCGTGGCCTGTCAGCTGGGGGTGTCAGCAGAGGAAAGCCTGAGAGGATGGGGTGCTTCCCAGGGCCCAGGGCATGGGAGGAGGGAGCCAAGGGCCTTCCCAGGAAAGGGCCTGCCTGACCTGGCCCCGGACCCTGGCTGTCACTGGCACAGCTCCTAGGAGGAGGAGAACCTGGGGGGGGGGCTGTGGCTGGGCGCCTGGGCGTGTCTGGGGGTCAACTTGTCCTGGCCCAGACATGGGAGGCCCAGTGGCTGGACCCTTTGCAGAACATTCCTGGGGGTGGAGGTGATCTCTGGTGCCTGGGACTTGGGAACACTCGCCATCCCGGGACCACCCGAGTCACTTCTTGGTGAAACGTCCACTGACAGGTGGTTCCCGGGTGAGGTCAGCTGAGGAGTGAAGGGCGGAGCGGCTCTGGGTGGGCCAGGCTCAAGCCTGACCCTGGCCTTGGCGTCTTGTGGGGAGGCTGGGCGGCTGGCCCACCAACGCTTCCCTCGGGGCGCTGATGAGGGAGCAGGGTTGAGGACGAGGTCCCTTTGCTGCTCTGCAGGAAGGTGCGGACAAGGGGGTGGGACAAGGGGCCACACACACCAGGGCTCAGCTACTCCGGGTGCAGGCTCACCCCCTCCTGCACAACCACAGCCGTCGAGGGCAGGCTGGGGACACGCAGAGCCTGTCCTGGGTGCTGAGCCCGCAGTGTCTGTGGTTGGAAGGGGAGTGAGAGTGACAGGAACACAGTGGCACCTGTCACCGCAGAGCACCAGCGGTGGCACCATCCACCAAGGCCACGAGACTGTCCCCTGGGAGGACCATGACTGTCCCATAGCCTAGAGGAGCTCCTGTCCTCTGGGAGGTTGAGGGACAGCCTGTGGGGAAGAGTGCGGCCGGCCCCTGCACGGCCACTGGTCTGACCACCCTCACCCGGGCCTGCGGGTAGCGTTGGGCCCTGATGCTGTGAGTGTCCATCACTGCGCTGGACCTCTTGGGCCTCCCCCTCTCCCCCAACCTGCCATCACACCAGAAGCCACTTTCCAGAGCCTTCCATGGCGACCGAGCCCCTCTGTCCCAAGCTGGGTTTCCCGAGCACCTTGTGCTGTGGCCTCCTGAACAAGCACAGCTCTAGTGGTGACCGTGAGCAGGAGCATTCCCCTGGGTGGTCTCCGGGGAACACTGGCCTCCTCTGGGAACGCACTCCTCTCTGACCGCTGGCTGGCACGGTCGAGAGCCCCTGACCCTGGGGGGAGACCGTGTCCTCGAGGTTCCGGGGTGGCCCTGGGTCGACGCTCTGGAGTTGCCAGACTCAGTGTTCGAGGCCCATGTGGCCCCTGGGCTCCCTGGCGGGCAGGTCTTCTGGCTGAGTGCCCCCAGGCCACAGACGGGCACTTCTGGGGGCTTGTCCTGCTGAGCAGAGCCCAGGCGTGTGGGACCCCGAGTCTGAGACTCACACTGCATGCCAGGGCTGGCCACTGTGTGTGTGAGGTTCTGAGGGGACCTTGGGGACCCTCCACTCCAAGAAACGGTTGAGACCCCCCATACCCTGGAAAATCACCCAGTGAGATTTCTCAGAAAGTCATGCTTCAAAGTAATCTCTCAGGGAAGTGAGGAAAGTGTCCTCACCAGTTAAGCCACACGAATCGCCCCAGAGGTTGGTGTTTATGAATTTTTAAAAACAACACATCTGCGTTTATCTGGCCTTTCTTTTCTTGTTAATCTTTTTTTTTGTCTGCGGGCCTTCCTGTTTGGGGCAGTGCGGCGGCGGGCAGGGCTGGGCCTGGAGCGCTAGTCAGGCCGTCTAAATATTTTATTTACCAGTTGCCAACAGGAAATGTAATTAAAGGCCTTTCCCAGCACCAGGGAGAAGGAGTCACACTGGGGGGCCGGGTCCCCTTTTAATCTTTGGAATTTCCAGTGTTTGGATTACAGAGCCACAGGGGACAGCGGCGTGGGTTCTGAAATGAAATCCCCCAACTCTGTGACATCTATTGAAATTTTAATAGATGTTAAAATCTGGCTTCTCAAGTCACCCACAGCCACTCGGGTTGCTCTGAGTCACTGGGTTGGAAAGACAACGGGGAGGCTGAGGAGAGAACAGGCAAGGCCGGGGGCGGGGGAGACAGTACCCAGGGTCAGAGGAGCTTCCTAGGTCCCCTGGGTGTGTCCTGGTGGTCAGACACCCTCAGGCCCTATCCTGGAAGCCTGTGAGCGACAGGGTTCAGTCCTCTTCCTGGCTGGGCAGACGGAGGTCCAGCCTTGTCCAGTCGGGAGCTCCGGGGTGTGCATGCATTTCCTGCCCGCTTGCAGCCGGGGACTTCGAGTGGACTCTCAGGGCTCAGGGGCAGAGTGCTGAAGATAGGACCCAGGCCTCACGGAGCAGGCGGCATGAAGACCACTGCCCCCAGACCCCCAGGACAGTGGCTGGCCAGCTTAGGTGAAGCCTGCAGCATAGTGAGCAGGTGGCCCACGATTGGCACCCCACACCCATGCCTTATTTATCTCTCCCTGGGGCGCCTACCTTCACAGCCTCCTGGGAACCCGCGTGGATCCAGGGTCCCGGAGCCCTGGCCAGGGAGTGGTCCTGAGGGGGATTCAGGGCTGGCTCTTGGCAGCCCGTGGCCTTGGGCAGCACTGTCCTTCTAGACATCCCCCGGCCTCTGTTATGGAGTGGAGGTGAGACTGTCCCCCCTCCACCAAGCTTGGGTGGAAAGCACACAGGAAGGGCTCCCACTGTCCAAGCTGGGGGGCCCTGCTGGCCTGTCCTCCCGACTCCCTGGGCTCCAGAGATGTCCTAGGGAGACTTTTAAAGTTAAGGATTTCTTTGAAAACCTTAAAAGGCAGCCCAAGCCATCCTACTTATTACAGAAATTCTGGAAAACAGGTGAATGAAAGAGGAAAGCCCTCTCGGATCTCCTTGCCCAGGGATGATGTCATGACAGATTTGGCACAAAAACGCCAGACTGTTCTGTGCGCTTTATGCACAGAAATACCTATTTCACAAACATTATTCTCTGCACATCTGTAACCTCCAGCATTTGGTAGGGGGACTGTGTGGGGCTTCGCGCTTGCGGATGGCGTCTGGCTCACCTCTCGCAGGGCCTTACCACTCACTGTTCACGTAACCATTCAGCTGCTGGGGAACATTTGGTCGGCTCCCACGTTTACCTTTATAAACAGCACTGCGGTGGGCACACGTACTTGTGAATGCTCAGGAACTTGTTGATCACACCTAGCGTCTTGGGTGGTTGGGGAGGCGCCTGGAGTGGGCTGCGGGCGCTGGCGGACAGCAGGCTCAGGCTTCCCTGTAGAGCTGGGCCGGTTGTGCTCTGCTCTCCTCCAGGGGGCGCCATCTGCTGAGACATGATGTCCGTGGTGTCCCCTGGAATCGTGCACCACGGTGGTCCAGCTGGGAAAGCCTGGTTGGGAGAGGCCCTTGAGTATCCCCTGGTCCTTGGTGCAGCACTGTGAGCTCAGGAGAAGCAGGGCTGTTGTGGGCTGGCCACGCTCCTGCCCCAGGCTGCGACGCTGTGTCAGTTCTCACTTTTCCTCTCCCCAGGGGGCTGGGGGTCTGCAGGGTGTTGGTCTTGGTCTTGGATGGGTGAGGCCCCCCACTCCCCCTCCTGTGGCTAGAGTGGCCGCCTCTGTCCTGGACACTGTCTGCTTCTTCCTGCCCCTGCTCACCCTGCACAACTCAGGCCTGTGACCCTCCAGAGGAGCCGGGACTCTGGGGTCTCAGCTGAGCCAGGGATCTGGGGGAAGACAGCTCCTCGATGTCCCACCGGGTGCTCAGGCCCTGCACACTGCTCCCTGGGATGTGCTTGTGAAGAGCAGGGGAGGCCAGAGTCAGGGCACACGGCCACCGAGTTCCACTCCTGCAGGCACGTGGCTAGTCATGTGGAGGGCGCAGAGACAGCACTGGCACCGTGGCAGCTTGCAGGGCGCACGGCATTAGTGGGCCTCCTTGGACCCATGGCAGCTTGAGGCTCTGTTCTGTCTCCAGTCCCCCGGCCCTCGGGTGTGCTCAGGGAGGCTGCAGAGGCCACTCACCGCCACGGCTATCTGCGGGAGAGCTGACACTGGAGGCAGGGGGGACACTGCCCCCCAAGGCCAGGCGAGAGAGCCCTGTATCTCCAGCACCTCCTGCCCCTTCCTCTGAGGAGCTGAGCGTTAAAAACCTCAGTGATAGTGGTGACCCGGGACGTGATGACGAGAAGTCCAATGGCCTTGACCCGTGTCCCAGCCCTCTACACGTAAGCAGCAGAGCTCAGGCAGTCCCCAGTCCCTGGGCCTCCCAGGGCCCAGAACAGACCAGGCCCCGCTGTGCAGCCACAGCCCAGCTGTGACCCTCAGACTGCCCGGCCATCTGGCTCATGCTGCCCAGGGTGGAGAGGAGGAGGCCACACCGTCTATGGTGGCCACACAGAGAACACCCTCTCTGGCGTGCAGCTGCTCCCACACATACCTGGAGGCTCCCAGTACCCTCTCAGCAGGCTCAGAGCTGGGGGACTGTGGTGATGGACCTGGTCTTGCCCTCTGGTGTCCCTCAGACCTCAGTGTGGGGTGAGGGCACATCCGTCCTCCTCCCTGTCCCCATGACCGGTGCATCTGCTCCTGCAAGCACATGCTGCCCAGATGGGTGGGCCTGCCGACCTCAGAGCAGGGAGCCCGCCAGCCCAGCTCGAGGGCCAGACTGGTGCGGGGGCGAAGCCGACCTTGCTGGGCAGAAGGTGGAAGGTGCACTCAGCACCCCGAGGCTGCCCCGGCCCCGGGGCTCCACCATGTCTGACCACCACCCGAGAATCCTCGCCAGCCTGCCTTTCGTTTGCTTCTTTGGACGAAGCCACCCAGCTGGGCAGCCTGTCCCCCTGGAGCCAGGCCTGGCCCTGGACCTGGCCGTGCCTGTGGGCGGGAAGCATTTTCCTGGGGTCTGGAATGGAGCACACAGAAGAGGGCACACTGCCACACCCCTGCACGGTCACACGTGTCCCTCCAACCCCACTGGCACGTGCGTCCGTTCATGCCCACACAGGAGCAGCCACCCGCCCGCACACTCACACACGGCACACAGGACGTGGAGCCTCAGGGTCCCCGCAGGCCCTCTCCAGCAGGGCTCCCCCCACGTCACAGCCCAGAGATCTGCCAGGGGCTTCTCCCCAGCCCTGAGGCCCACAGAGCGTGAAGTCCCCCCGGCCACCCCATTCCCGGACTCTACTCAGGCAGCATTTCCCGGGTTTCTCTGAGAGAGGAGGCAGGGAGAAGCTTCTCTACTCGGTGCCAATATGCCTCCATTTTTAATTAAACATGAGAGTGAGGAGGCAGGGTGAGCCTGGCTGTTAGAATATGAGTGACGAGCGTCCTCCCCTCCAGATGTTCCCTCTGCCGCTCCCCGTGGCTCCAGGCGGCTCATTTGTTTTCCCCAATTTTTTCCCAGTCCCAAGCCTTCCTTAGGAAGCTGGTCAGAACCTAAACAGCGATTGCGGGTCAAGCCCTGTGTCAGATTCTGGTGGTTTCGAGATGGGAAGTACCTGGCTTGGCTTTGCTCCCCCAGGTCTTGCGGGGGCCTGGTGACTTACGTGAGACGCCTTTGTTTACCCAGGGTCTGGGCCAGCGGGGGTGGAGGCTGGAGGGCAGTGGAGGCCCTCCTGGCCTCTGCAGCCAGGTGGGGTCAGAAATGAAACTGGTGACCTCCCGGATACCTAGGTGATCAGAGCTTGTGCATGTTCCTGAGGGGAAGCACAGGAGCAGGTCCTTCCACCACTACTTACCGGCTCTTGTCCTGGGCCATGTTCCTCTGTGAACGGGGGCGGGGTGCCGTGGGCTCAGGGAGAGAGATTCACGCCCTTCAAGTGATGTGAAGTCCTGCGCCCACCCAGCGTCCCCACTGCACCCCACGTCCCTGCACCAGCTCAGCGTCCCTCATCTCTTAAATCCTCCTTCCGTGCTGCTTCATGCCGTGCCTGGAAGAGGGCAGGGCAGGCGTGTGGGCAGGGAGAGATGGGCAGGTGACCGCACCGTACCTGTTGGCACCGGAGCTTGTTCCTGGGGTTTCTTGGGCAGGAGTCCTTCCCTTGTTGGTTGGGGCAGCCTGGGAGGAGAGGTCCTGCTCAACAGAGCTAGCAGCCCACCCGAGTGGAGGGAGGGGAGGAGGCGCGTGCACTGGCTCACGCTGACTCTGGAGGTGGCCCAGGTCACCCAGCAAAGACAACACACTCGTGGGTGGCGGCCACCACGCCCAGCACTGGTAATCGGCAGCACAGCCTTGCCTGGGCCTGGACCCCATCAGATCCTTCAGCCTGGGCTCTTGGCTCATTGTCCTTGCTCTGGGGAGGAGCACCGAGGGCCACTTGCCGTGCCAGGAGTCACTCTAACAAGGAAGACGCCTGCAAACCCATCACCGTGTCCTGCAGGAGGCGCCTGGGCGGCGTGACCAGGAGGCGGCCCACAGACAGGAGCTGGGGGCTCCACGTGTGTGGTCAGAAGCCACCTAGGGAGCACCAGCTCCGGGCCAGGGAGTGCTCCCGATGCAGGGGGCACGATGGCACCCGGCAGACCTGGTTCCCGTGGTCACACCAGCAACCTGTATTTTTGTGGAAACTTAGCCTGGCGGGGTTCCACTGGCCCAAGCTCTCAGAAGCCTTTTCTAACAGAGAGACCCAGAGGACTGGCTACTGGCCAGCCAACCCCCAAGCACAGAGGCACTTCTGCTCTGCAGACACTACCTTGCCACACTGCCTGCCACCAGCGAGGGGCTGTGTGTGGGCTTTGGCCCTGGGTACTTGCTGATGTCACCTCCTGGTCTGGTGAGCTGACCTAGCGACTGACAGGCTTCAATTGCAGCATGACACCCACACACATTCATATTGTATTGAAATGACCAATCTTTGGCTGCTTTACCAAGGCATCATCGATAATGCCTCCTCAGGGCAGATGGGTGGGACAGGAACCTCAGCCCCAGATGACCTGTGTGCCGGTCAGTGGTGCCACCCAACCTACTAGGCCTTACCTGCTTCTCTGTGGTCTGGGGAACAGATCCTGATGGGTAGGCCATCCATCCACCCCTCCCTCCCTCCCTCCACCACCCAACCATCCACTCACCCACTAGTCCATCCAACCATCCAAAAATCCACCCACCTACCCACCCACCCATCCATCCACCCACCCACCCATTCACCCATCTACCCACCGACTCACTCACCCATCCACCCACCCATCCACCCACCCATCCGTTCGTCCACCCGCCCATCTGTCCACCACCCATCCACCCACCCACCCATCCATTCATCCACTCACCCACCCATCCACCCACCCACCCATCTACCCGTCTATCTGTCCACCACCCACCTATCCACCCACCCACCTACCCATCCACTCACCCACTCACCCATCCATCTGTCCGTGCACCCATCTTCCATGCAATCACCCCTCTCTCCATCGTTTGGTCTCCTCTGTCCATCCACATCCACCACGTACACACACTCACCCACCCACCCATCCGTGTCCTTCTCCCACCCACCCGCTCACCCACTCACACCATCCACCCAGTCGTTCATTCACTCATCCATATTTTTAAGCAGACATTTCATTTCATTTCTCTGGCCTCAATTTTCTCATTTCTGAAGAAGAAACAAAGCTACCCCTTTCGCGCGGCTGTGATAAAGGTTGTGTAAGGTGGCGTGCTGGGTACAAAGGGCTCAGAGCGGTGGTTGGCCCTGGCAGCCGGCAGAGCCACTCCTGTCCTACATTTGCAAGTCTTTCAGCAGAATAGGCTTCCTGGCATGGCAGGTGTGAGCCGGGAGTGGACTGTCCACCTCTTCTCCTGGTCCTCCCCGGACTCCCGTGCAGGAGGGTGGGTCAGGGACTGACCTGGCCAGGTGGGCTGTTAGCAGAGGTGCTGGGCTTCACTTCAGGCGTGAGCCTCCCTGTTTCCTCCTGTCCCTTGCCAGGAAGGCCTGAGCAGGGGACAGGGTCACAGGGCAGACAGGGACCAGGGTCTGAGTCACAGTAGGGAGCAGCAATCCAGGAGGGCCCCTAGATGGCAGCTGGCTTTGCTGAGCAAGGGGCCACTGAGATGTCGGGTTTACCTGTGACTTTGGCAGGGCCTGTCCCTTCCTGACTTGGTGACGATGGTGCCTGTCCCCCTTCCAACCGGCCAGGCCAGCTTGTGGGACAGCTGGAAGAGGGTCCAGCTCAAGACCGAGGGTCAGGCTGAGGTCAATGCTGCCATGTGCCCAGCCAGCCAGCTCCCCAGCAGGCCTCAGTCTCTTCTTCCTGGCCCTGTGTCCACCCCCTGTGACCACCAGTCACACATCCCAAGCTGGGACGCCCTCCCTTTCCAGTCCTGCCCTTGAGACCTACAATAACTGCTGAGAGATGGGCACTCTCCAGGGACCAGCCTGTCCCTGGAGAGTTAGCCCCGGTGGGCCTGCTGAGAGCCTGTGGGCAGCCTGGGCAGGGCCCAGGGGCAGAGCTGAGCCACCAGGCAGGCCTGGCACCCTGACCCTCCCCGCGGCCGCAGGACCTGAGGCTCTTCTGGGACAAGGTGAGGTCTCCCACATGGAGGTAAAGCTGCACCAGCCAACAGCGGGGAAGTGACCTGCCTCAGGTCAAGGGTGGGTCACGGGCAGGGCCCGGACCAGAACGCAGCCCCCTCCCCCCTGGGGCCTGCGGGGTGCAGGCTGTGTGGCCCCGGGAGTAGGACAGGGCGGTCACTGGGCTGCAGCTTGGAGAACTCTCCAGAACAGCCGCGGACATGCCACCCAGGCCTGGACCCATGGCTCGCGTCATTCTAGAAGTGGGTCTCCTCCCCTTTGTGCCCACGGCAGTGGTGGGAGGAGCCTTCCCGCGGGGCTGGCCACCCGGGGTCAGCGGCTGGACGCCCCAGCCTGCCCCTTCCCCGGGGTGCATCGGGCTGGACCCAGCAGCGGCCCCTGTGCTCAAGGACGCGCACACAGGCCCTGGGCTTGCCAGGCTCGCGTGAGGGTTTCATGTCCCCTCCCCTCGCTCACGAGCGAGCGATGAATTATTCACAGGATACCCAGAAGCCCCACAGGCAGGGGCTTGCTGGCAGCAGGGGGAGGGCTGGGGAGCCGGCTGGCGAGGCGAGGGCCTGTGCTGCGGCCCCGGGAGAGCCCCAGCGGGGCCGGGCCTCGGTCTGCCATCCTTACCGTCCTTGCTCTGGGCACTTTCATTAGCGGAAAGCAAACTGCCAGTGATCTGGGCTTTTCAGGGCAGTTAGGCGGGAAGCGATGCCAGAGGGAGGCTCGGAAATCTCCGTGCCGCGGGGGATTTCCAGGGCTTGGCGGAGGCGGAGGAAGACAGAGGCTAGGGACTGGAGCCTTCCCTCTGGAAGGCAGCACAGTTTGCAGAGCCCTGCTGCAGTTTTCACAGGCTCTGGGTCTAATGGCTGAGTTTGAATTCCCGTTCCACACTTAACGGCTGTGTGGCCTTGGGAAAGCTCCCTCACCTCTCTGTGCCTCAGCTTCTTCACCTGCAAAACGAGGGTAGTACAAACGTCTGCCTGCCTCTCGGCTTTGCTGTGAATATAAAAATCATGGCAGTGTAAGCGCTCAGCAGGCGCGAGTCAGCCCTGCGTGGTCGACATCACTGTCACCACCTGGTTCCAGCCCTTCTCCCCACCCTTCCCAGCTCAATGGAGCATGGCCAAGGCCAGGTAGTGGGCTTGACCCCGTCGCCCCTCAGAGCCCAGCCCAGCCCCGCTCTCTCCTCCCAGGGTCGGGGCTGCTCGGGCTCCAGAAGTGCCTGTCCCTGTGCCTGCACCCACCTAGGTTGGCTCTTTCTGTCCAGGCTTCAGGGCCCTGGGGGGCCCCAGGCGCTCTCAGCCTGCAGGTGTCCTGTGTGTGCCTGCACACCACTCCGTGTGCGTGTGTCTGAGTGTCCGTGTGTGTCTGTGTCTGTGTGTGTGTGTCTATGTGTGTGCGTGCGTGTCTGTGTGTCTGTGTGTGTGCATGTGTGTGTGTCTATGTGTGTGCATGCGTGTGTACATGTGTGTGTGTCTATGTGTGTGCGTGCGTGTCTGTGTGTCTGTGTGTGTGCATGTGTGTGTGTCTGAGTGTCCATGTGTGTGTGTGTGTCTGTGTGTGTGTGTCTGTGTGTGTGTCTGTGTGCATGTGTGTGTGTCTGAGGGTCCGTGTGTGTCTGTGTCTGTGTGTGTGTCCATGTGTGTGTGTGCATGTGTGTGTGTCTGAGTGTCCGTGTGTTGTGTCTGTGTGTGTGTCTGTGTGCATGTGTGTGTGTCTGAGTGTCCGCGTGTTGTGTCTGTGTGTGTGTGTCCGTGTGTGTGCATGCGTGTGTGTGTGTGTGTGTGTGTGTGTACGGCCACATGTCTACACCCACCTCACTCTGCGTGTGCGTGCGTCCCTGGCCTCACCCTCCTCTCCTGACTCCTCGAGTCCCAGCCAGGCTCGGCTGGGGGGTCGGCCTCAGGCGGAGGGCAGGCTGCACCCTGGCTTCCCTGGACTGTGCTTCTGCTGCAGACCTGGTGGCGTGTCACTGTGGTGTGGGGACAGGGTGCCTCCCCCACAGCTGGTCACCACCCCCAACTCCAGGGACAGGGCCTTCCTGGCCTCCTGCCCGCCCTTCCCCTCTCTTCTGCCCCTGTGCCCCAATCTCTCTGCAAGCCCTTGGCAGAGAGCTGCAAAAGGCAGGTGAGCGTTGCTCCCAAGGACAGCTCTGGGGATCAGGCATGCAGCGCACTGCTCCCTGATGCAGAGGACTTCCAGGTGCCCACACAGTACGAGCCCAGAGCTGGACGGCAGAGGGTGATGTCCAGGAGGGTCCTGCAGCGTGGTCCAGGGGGAGGCACATCCGTCCTCGGGTCTCCTGAACACGGGTCCCTCTCAGCCCTGGGTGCACGCTCTCTCCCGGGTGGCTTTCAACCCAGGCTTGCACATTCTGTGACAACACACTAGTCAAGTGCAGTCTTTTTATGGGTAGCAGATTGAGAAACCCATTAGCACGCGGCTGTCTATCACCAGGGCTGACAGAAACCACCAGAAAGAAAACAAGCCTCAATACGGTCTGTCTGACTGGGTGCTGGAGGGCTCTCGGGGGGCTCAGCCCTTCTCTGATGAACTCTGGTGCCCAGGGCAGGAGGGCCCATCGGGAGAGACCAGTTCCAGTTCCTCCAGTTCCTCCACCTGATGCCCTGGCCCAGCGGGGGGGCAGTAAGTTTGGGACCAGATGGAGTCAGAGCCATGTCCGGGCTCTCATGCTCCTGGCCTGGAGGGAAGCCCCTCCCAGATGCCCTCGTTCCCATCTCAGGGGACCAGGACAGCTTGCCCAGAGCTGCTCCAAGTGTCCCAGCCCCGACCAGGGTGGCGCTGTGACCACTCCTGCCTGGGGACATAGCATCTGCTGCTGCGGCCTCAGTGTCAAGATGGAGACCGAACCACATAGACACTTGGGTCCCGTGGCCCTTTCCTTCCACAGCCCTTCTGCCCTGCGCCCTCCATGCCCCTGGGCACCAAGGAGCCGCACCGACTCCTTCTGTTCAGTTAGGGCTGTCCTGCCTGGAAACAGGGGCTGTTGCCTGCCTGCCTCCTCCTTCTCTGCCCATCCAAATCCTCCTCACCCTCCAGGTCTTGGACTGATGGCCTGAAGACTTTGTGAGAAGCCTGCCCGCCCTGGGCCCCTCCCGGCATGGCCTGGCTACCTGCTGCCCTGTCCCTGTCTTGGACTTCCATGCCTGAAGAGACCCACAGTGCTGGGTCTCTGTTAGGGCGAGCTGAGCAGAGCACTCTGCCCAGGCACCGGCTGCGTGAGTGAGCACAGGAAGGACGGCAGAGGGCCATGTCCAGGGGGGTGCCCAGGAGGAGGCTGGCCCCTCCGGGCAGGTGTGGCCAGGAGGTGGCCAGGTGGCTGGAAGTCCTGTGGGGTGGAGGCCAGGTCCTAGGCTGCCACAGATCTTTTCACTGTGGCTATAGCTGCGGCAGGCCATGGTCAACAGCTGCTGGCCAGCCCCTTGGGAGCCTGAGCAAGGCTTCAGAGGGGCTCGGGAGGCCAGCATCACTGAGTCTCTCAGCAGCTTTGTGCTGCTGTCACCAGCTGCCTCGAGGTCACGGTTCCCAGGAGACTGCAGAGGAGGGCAGAGGGACCCAAAGTGCCCAGCCTGTTCAGGGAGGACCGATTCCCCTGTCCTTGTTGGTCACTCCTTGACTCACAGGGATGGCACTGCAGGCCACCCAGACCTCCCTGCTCCCATCCACCCGTTGTCCACCAGGGACCCGGCAGGCTGCCCCCAGGTGTGGGTTCTTGTGGGCCAGAGTGGAAGGCCTGGGGTCCCTCAGTGGACATTTGGTTTGGGGACTCCAAGCCCCTTCTCACATTCCTCGCCCTGCAAGCTGTCGGCAGCCCGGGGAAGGGCAGCGCAGCCCCTCCGCTCACAGACAAGATGGGTGAGGGCGCTCGTGGTCAGAGTGAGTCCAACCCAGGAGCCCTGCCCCCTCCACTGGGCCCAGGAGGGGTGGAGGTGACCTGGTCGCTCCACAGAAATAGACCAGGGTGAAGTCAAACATTCGTTCACACTTAAACACAGTAACTGTATTTTCATGCGAGTTTTATTGATATAACTTGCACACCACACAACTTGTCCTTTAAAGTGTGCAATCGGAGGTTCCAGCCACCCACATTGTGCGTCTCTTGGCCGCGTCAGTTACAGGGCGTCATGATTATCTCAAGAAGAGCCCACGCCCTGTAGCTGCGGCTCTCTCCCCCCGCCCCAGCGCCCATGCACTTTCTGCCTGCAGATTCGCCCGTTCTGGACGTCCTCCATGGGCCCGCTCACCGGGGGTCTTTGTGCCCGGCTTCCTTGGCTGGCAGGTGTTTTCAAGGTCACAGGTTTGGTGTGGGTGGCACCTCGCTCCTTGCCATGGCTGACTGCTGCTCGGCGGCTCCAGGGATGGCGTTCTCGTCCCTCTACCAGTGGACCCTCAGCTGATTCCGCTCGTGGGTGGTTAGGAGTGCTGCTGTGATCCCCGTGAGGAGAGGGTGGACTCACTCTGCCGTCTCACCTGGGGGTGGGTGGGCTGGGCATGTGGGAGGTCAGTCTGTGGCCAACTCCTTGAGGAACGGCCAGCTGCCCTCCAAGGCCCCACCCCACCTCCCAGAAGCACTGCAAGCTCCGACTTTCCCTCTGTGGCTCGCGCTGCCTCACCAGCTTACGGCCTTGGCCTTGGCCTTGGCCTTGGACACCTGCCTCCTGCCTCTGCTGCGCGCTGTGCCTCCCACCTGCCAGCCTCTTCCTCCATCTGGCCCCTCTCTGCCCCCTCCTGGTCCGAGACTCGGCCTGTGCCCCCGGCTCTCAGGGCACCAGCTACAGCAAGTGCCCTGGCTCTCTGCCCCCAGCCCTGCCTTGTTCCATCCCCAGCCCCACGTGGGCAGAGTCCTCCCCCACCCAGATGGGCAGTGGCGGCCCCGGTCAGGAGCTGGACGGAGGGGCACGATTCCCACTCCGGCGAATTGGAGCCCGCTCCTCCTCCAGGCTGGCGCTCCTCAGGCAGGCCCCGGAGAGCGCTTAGCTCCTTACCCAGGAAAAGGCCGGGCCGGCGCTAGTTTCCCCTCTGCAGAGAAGCCCTGTGTCTGTCGCAGCCCGGCAGATTCATACGAGCAGCTGAACTGACAGAACACACGGCTCACACCACGCGCCCAGCCGCCTCCAATGGCTCTAGCTGATTAATAAGTTAAACCGAGTCCGTAATCCACGCCCGCACTCAGCCGCCTCCCGCAGGAGGTGCCAGGGCCGCAGGGCCCCGTGGGGCGGGTGAGGGCACCACGGTGCTCCCCATGGAGCCACCTGCCTCCTGGCTGCAGGACGCCATAGGTCCCTGGCAGCGGGTCACTCTCTGACTCCAGTCCGCAGGCACTGCCCGCCCAACCTAAGGACCAGTTATGTGATGCCATCTCAGGTGCCCCGCGTTCTGGCAGGCTAGCTTCAGGGTCACTCACAGTACAGCTCCAGGTCCAGGAGTGCCCAGGAGGCAGCCTTTGTCAGGCCACTGCCCTCTGGGCTCCTTTGGGGTTTCAGGAGATGACCTCTTGTCTGTTTCCTAATATTTCAGAGTGTTGACTGAGTCTTAGGGAAGACCCCCCCACCCCGCACCCGCCTCTCTCTGTACAGTTCTCCCACCACCAATTACTCCAGGCAGAGGGCTTGGCACTTGGTAGCCAGGGCTCTGGCACCAGCTGGGTGTGGGGGGGACCAGGGGGGACTCAGGCCCTGCCAGGTGGGTGGCCCTGGGTGCACGTGGCGAGCCTGTTCCTCACCTGCAGGAGAGGTGGCCCTGCCGAGGTGCCAGGTGAGAGGCGCTGTGAGCTCTGGGAGCTGAGCAGGCGCCTGGCACCCTGTGCCCACTGGGTTTCCATGTCCTCTTGCCCTTTCTATTCCTTTCTCTTCTCTGTTTCTCCCTCTGACTTCAAGCCATTTACTCTGGGCCATGCCACTTCCAGCCTGGCTCCCCGGGGAACCTACAATTTAAGATGCCAGCCCCCCACCCAGCCTGCAGGGCGTGGTCCATCCCTGGCCTCCCAAGCCCATGGCTGGCTGATGGTTGGACACTGGCAGGCCCAGGAGCCACGGCCTGTGCCTGGGGTGGCCCAGCAGAGGGGTGGAGGGGAGTTGGACGAGAGGGCCACACTGTGCTCACAAGGGCCACGGTGATGTGACAGGGAGCTCTTTGTCTCATGAATACGGACACGGGGCGAGAGCAAAGTGACGGGATGTAGTAGAGTAATAGAAAGGAAGCAGAGATCCTGAGGAGGGAGGGTCCCGAGAGAGAGGGATGCCCCATGGCCATGGCCCATCCTGGGCAGGGCCCTCAGTGTCACGGTGTTCACGCAGCCTTCGGTCCAGTCAGAATACCCACCAGGCATTTTTCCTTCTTTGGGAGGCACGGACTGTCATCAGGTAGTTCCTCATTTTAAAGTGGGCTTTTTGTAAGATTTTCAGCTGATACCTGCCGCTGTTGTTTGTGCGCCCACAGGAAGAGAGCCAGGCCCATCTCCCTCTTGGCCCAGCCTACCCTTCCTCCCGACTTCAGGAGCCACACTCGCCCGCGGAGCAGCCCAGGGGAGCAGGCCGGCTCTGAGTGTCATGCTCTTAGTCCTGGGTTGGTGGACAGCAGAAGGCCCAGAGTCCTCGAGGCCGTGGGCTCGTCTGATGAGCTGGAGGCGGAGGCTGGGAGTCAGCTCGGCTGAGACCACGTGGGAAGCAGAAGACCACGGAGCCACACGGCCCGAGACGAAGTCCCCGAAGTCAGACGCACCGAGACAGGACCCTGGTCTGCCCTGTTCTGGGAGGATGCCAGGGCTTTCCCAGGTGACGAGGACTAGCTCCTGGGCAAGAGGCAAACGTGTGTGGGAGTCACTGAAGTGCCCCCGTGACCGTCACCTTATGGCATAGCAAACCACACCCCGAGGCACAGACCTGAGTGGTGACGAGGCCTGTGGCACGTGAGAGGAGGCAGGTGCCACGAGAGCCCCCTCTGCATGCGAGGACCTCAGGACCCGGCCTGCCAGCCCCGGAGGTGCCAGGACAGAGGCACAACCCTGTTCCCTGTGAGGCGTGGACACCTAGGTCAGTGCCGACTCTCTCCTGGGGACGCAGAAGCCCCGACAAGGCCTGGCCTGGGTTTGAATTCTTCTTCCTCCTCCCGACTTCTTCTTTTGGGTGCTGCACCACTGAGCCACGCCCCAGCCTTTCCAGGTTTTGAGACAGGGTCTCCCTAAGTTGTCCACTCTGGCTTCAAACTTGGGATCGCCCTGCTCAGTTGTGGTTACAGGAGTGTGCCCCATGCCTGGACTCCTCTTTATTCTATTTTTATTTTTTGTAGTTGTGTGTGGACAGCATGCCTTTATTTGTTTATTTTGACGTGGTGCTGAGGATCGAACCCGGTGCCTCACGCAGGCTAGAGCCCAGCCCAGCCCCTGCCTGGCTTCCTCCTGACTTAGCAGAACATTTCCCGGCACTGAGCCAGCTCACAGCCTTGTGAGACCCCCCACTCCTCACACACTAGGTCATTCCTGAGGTCTCCCATGGCAGAATGCTCGGGGATCTCAGGGCCAGCGCTGTCCAGAGAATCCCCAGAGTGGCCCCTCTGTGACACTAGGTGTGGAGCTCCTGAGAAGGCAGGTACCCTGCCAGGGTTGTGAGCCCACCTCCCCTGGGTGGTTGTACCTCTTTGAGCATCCTTCCCGGGCCTGGCCCTGGTCACCGATAGAGAATGGCCCTGACCCCATGGCTCTTGAGACTTAGCCTTGATGGGACACTAGAATCCCGGGGAGTCCCGGGCCACCTGAGAGATCCTGACAGCTGGGCTGGGTGGACAGGTAGTGAAGTTGTCTTGAGATAATCACAGATCTTCCTGCAGCTGGCAGAAGATCCGGAGAGACCCTGTGCGATCCAGTTTCCAGCGGGTGACCTGCACAGCCCTCCAGCTACTGCCTGTGCCCTCCTGTCCCGCCCTCTCCTTAATCCCTGTTACCGACTGCTGCCCACCAGCTCTGTGAACCCCGGGAGGTGTGGCCTTTGGAATTGTTGGAATTGGCCCTTTTCACTCAACAGGGTCCCTTGAGATTCCCCCAATTGCTGCGCGGCCCGTCCTCTGTCTTTTCAATGCTGAAGTCTTCGCTTTGCTTATTTATCTGCTCCCTGTTGAAGGGCACCTGGGTGGTTCGCTGTTTGGAGCTGTTACAAATAAGCTGCTACAGACGTTTGTGTTTGGGTTTTCCATGAACATGTCTCCTTTCTCTGGGGTAGGTGCCGGGTGTGCAGTCGCTGGCGAGCACAGTACGTACCTAGGTTTGCTTTACAAAGAACCGCCAGCCTGTTTTCCGGAGTGGCTGTGGCCTTTCGCAGTCTCTGTGCTGGGAGAGGCCCAGGGCCCACAGCCTCACAGCGCCCCGTGGGTGTGGGCTGTCTGCTGCTGGCTCTCTGCCAGGTCTGTGGGACGCCTGTGGTGTGGCTGTGCGTCCCTGGTGGCTGATGCCGAGGGGCTCTTGTCACAGGCCTGCCTGCCAGCTGCTCTTTTTGGAGAGACGTCTGTTCACGCCTCTTGCCCATTTTGGAATTCAGTTATTTTCTACGTGGAGTTTTGAGGCTCCTCCGTCTACTCTGGGTCCCTGCCCTTTGTGGATACGGGTCTGCAGGTCCTCTCCTCTCCTCACGCTCGTCTTCCATCTGCTCATGGGGATCTTTTGCACAGAACCTCCGACGAGAGGCCACAGACTTTCTCTTGTATGGATCACGCTTTGCCTAATCTAAGAGCTCGGTCCTGGTACTGAAGGTTTCTCCCAGGTGTTTCTAAAGGCCTTGAGATTGACGTTGTAAACTTCCTGAGGTTCACTTCACCCGTGTCTTAGGGCTCCTACCCCATTTGCTGTAAATGCCATCCTTCCCGTGTTGAATTTCTTCTGCACCTTTGTTAGAAGTCAGCTGGGCAGATTCGGGGTCCAATTCTGGGATCTGCTTGGTCACAGTGATCAAGCCTGTCTTTTGTCCGATGCTGCAATACTCCCATGTAGACAGTCTTACTATAGATAAGATAGTTCTTCCCATTCTATTTTTTTTTTCAAAACTGTTTTAGTTATGGCAGATTCCAGGTCCAATCCTCCAGAGCTTTTCCTTTTAAAAACCCTTTCTTTTCCACACACATTCTGGAAACATTCTCGTCGGTTTGCAAAAACCTTGCAAGTGTTGATAGGAACTGTACCAAACTATAGATCAGCAGGAGAACTGGCCCCATATGTGCCTTGGGGTCCAGTCCAGGCCACGCAATGCTTCACTTATTTGTATCTTCTCTGGTCACATCTGTATTTACACAGCCCCGTGGGTGACCCCGCCTGGCCTGGGCTGGGTGGATGGGGTTCAGGAGGTTGGTGTAGGTGGGTTTTCCCAGGCTGCCCGAGTGCTGGAATTATCTGAGGTACTTGTTAAAAATCTCTTTCCTAGGGATGAGACTGAGGGTGAGACCCCTAGTCAAGTGGGCTAAGAGCCCCCATGGGTGGTTCCCGACCTGGCTGACGTGGCTCTCCAGCTCCTCAGAGCCCAGGCTTTGTCCCTTGCAGCCTGAGAGATGGCCATGGAGCCTGGGGTGGGGCCAATAGGCAGGCCTGAGCACCTCCTCAGACCCTGCTGAGTTCCTGAGTCAGGACCCCAGGGTGCTCTGTGCTCCTAAGTTACCTGCCCCAGTGAAACCACTTATTTTGTTGCCTTTCTGTTGACCACTGGGGACCGAGGGCTCTGACAGTCACCACGATTCAGCATGACCCTAAGAGCCATTGCAAGGTCCAAGGGACACCAGCAGAAGAGCAGGGGACTCGGGTCCTCCTGCTCCCCAGGACGCAGGCCATGACAACACCACTGAACCTCACGGGGAGGGAAATGAGGTCTTTGAAGCTGATTTCACCATCTGAACAACTGGTCCAGGAAAAAGGACAGCTGGGGCCTCTTCCAAAACCCACAAGGGGTGGCCACCACAAGACAGTCACCGAAGAACAGAGACGGGAGGATGTGGCCTTCAGGAAGGCGGGTGTACCCCAAGGACAGCTCCCCACTTGCTGAGGGGCTCTCTGCTTTTATGAGCTGTGTGACGCTCATGCACAGCCAGCACCGTGACCCCGCGATTTCACCGAATCCACTTGTGAGAAATGTGGAAAACGAATTAGAACGCTCCAACAACGACCGCGTGATTTCTACTTCCTGTACTGGGGACAAT